ATATTGTTTCGCAGTTTGGTCTTTTGCCGGAGTTACTGCATTAAAACCCATTAATCAATTATATAAAAAAGCAGTCAAGGTATTTGACAGGAAACCACAATCGTTTCACCTTTGTCCAATTCTAGAGAAGTACCAACTCCTAAATTTTGAAAATCTAAAAATTTTTAAAAATAGTTGCCTAATTTATAAATCTATGAATGGAATCGCCCCACCGCCCCTGGGGGATTTTATAAAAAAGAAAAATAATGAGACTAGGTCAAGATCATTTACCCGGGGGGATTGTGAAGTACCTTTTAGAAAATCTTTGTTTGCACAAAATGTTCTCTCTATTAAAGGCTGCACACATTGGAATAGTTTGCCAAAGGAAATCAGAGATAGCCCAACTTTTGCTTCTTTTAAGAAACAGCTTAAGAGATGGCTGAACAAACATCAAAAATGTAATCATTTAGTATAAAGGTTGAATTTGATAGGTAGATTTATTTAAAATATTTATAATAAGCATCTTGGAATGTCTACGTATAGCAGTTTTTGAAATGGGTACTACAATATATTCTCTATAAGACAGGCATAGGAACTTTTATGATTATCACTATTCTTAATTTATATATATATATATATATATATATATATATATATATATATATATATATTATTTCACATGTGTTTTGTTGATATGTATATTGTGTGTCTGTTTTTATTTTTGTATTGTATTTGTCTCTGTTATGCCGAGTTCAGACTGCATGATTTTAGCCACGATTTTGGCTCGCCGACAGGTTTTGAGAAATCGCCGACAAATGCCCGAAATCACAGGCAAATCGGCGCTCGTTCACGCGAGTGACAATCACGCAGTGTGAATGAACAAAGACGCGAACTGAGAGAATCACCGACGAGTCGCCGACGCCCGTGAGATATTTGGCATGCTAAATATCTGGACCTGTCGGCGATTCAAAATCCTGCTGTGTGAAAAGTGTTTTGACTGAAAACTACATCGGCGATCACCGGCAGCCAGTGAGAGAGCAAGATACAGAGCAGCAGGGAGTTCGGGGAGGAGTTAGATCACATATCAACATGATATGGCATTGATTGTTTCAACAAAAAAAGCTTCTTCTCGGTCTATTTGGACACAATAAATGGAAGAAAAATTAGTAGAAATTTGGCAGGAGCACTCGTGTCTGTTTCACCAGCTGTACCACAACCGGGTCGAAAAAAAAAGTCTCACGTGAGAACTCCGGTCTTGCACGTGTGGTGTCGCGCGTTGTTTCCTTTTCATATCTCACGCGTGTTTGTTGTGAAACGTAGTTTGCGCGCAGCGTGCTAGACAGAGTCTGTCGGCGATTTTTCTAAAGTCATGCAGTGTGAAACCTTCTGTCGCCGATCCATCGTCCAGTGTGAACACAGCAGCGACTGAATGCTGGCCAAGATAGTCATGCAGTGTGAAAAGAGCAGCGACCTGACTACTTTGAAAATCGTGCAGTCTGAAAGAGCCATTAGGGGACAACGGATGGAAATT